TTTCTCTCTTAACGGCAATGGTCGCGATGGTGGAGCGGTGCGGTTTTGATGTCATTGAGCTTCGTTGGTAGAAGGTCGCTTGGAGACGGCTTCAACCACACCTCAGCCCGCCCTCGTGATCACTGCCTTTAGGGGCATCATTTCGAAAACCCTATTACCCTGTCAAAGAAAACTGAAAGAGTAACAGTTCCAAAAACCTCGCACAAAATCGGTTTCGTCGGAATAGAACAGTGAAAGCTATTCGCTGTATCGTAGCACAAACCTTAGTGTGGTCCATTCCTTGTGCAGCACAGAATTGCATCTCGGGAAGGAAGTCGATTGGGCACTCGTCCGTGCCAACAAACATCGCTTCCAGCTAAAATGTGATCACAGTATCTTGAAAGAAATAAATGTTGGTTAGACAGTGTTCAGTGGTAGCAACGACGAAATGCCGACGAAGGGAAAAATACCTTGTGGAAAGGCAGGCGGACTTTCTAGGGTGCGGACCGACACGCAATTTGCATCCGCTGCGCTATCGGTACGGCAGGCCCACGGGCTGGCTAACCGCTTGCAGATCTCTGGCCGTTTAGCAGAGGGAGAGCGTTAGCGTAGAAGAAGGCCATGCCGACGAGAGTTGCACTCAACGAGGGAAAATGGGCAAGATACGGGTGCCGGACAGCTTCTCGAGGTTTTTCTTCGTCTGGGGACCACGGACCACCTATACCTTACTCCTAATAGGCCGCCTTCCAATCACAAACACCGCCATTGAGGCAGCAACTCTGGTTACTGCTGCAACTCCAAACAACTACAGTTATCCCGCGGCACACAAACGCGGGATAGAATTATGCCGACATGTTCGTACTTTTCCTACCAAGGGTATAAGGAGGGCACCAGTGGAGGGCTTCACGTCGTAAATCGTAGGAAAACTGGCAGCTTCCTACCGTGGTTCAAAAAATATGTATCAAGGACCATATGGACCGCTACGAAACATTCTGAACGGGGTGAGAAGGCACAGCCGTATACTATCTGCTGTTGCAGAATGATTACAAAATCTTCATGAAAATTTTGAGGAATTTCCCCCACTCTCGAAAATTTTCAAGAAGTTCATAACATTGTTCAAACCAGCCCAATACATCCCACGAAAAAAGCGCGATCAAGCGCTAAGGCCCTCCCTCTCGCCTCCGTCCAAGAGCACAAATAGTCCCGATAAGACAGTGTACGCCTCACAGGGACCGGGAATGAAATAGGGAATTCTGCGTTGTATTGTACTTGTTAACTCTGAGCTTGTTCCTGAGGATTTCTCAACCGCATCTTTTTCATAGGTGTTGAAGTGACATTTTTGAACACATGCGGCAGGTAGACGGCGCTCCTCGCAGCAGCTGTGGAACAGGAAGTTCGGATTCTAAACAGAGTTTTCGGACCATAGAGCGATAAAGTGATGAAATTGCTGGTGGCAAGAAGGGACGACTCACCGTGTAACGTGCAATATTTGCCCTGTTGATCTTGATGTCGGTTGATTTCCAGACTTGAGCCCACAAAGATTGCCTATCTGCACGATTCGTCTTTCATCCCACTGTAATCGGCCGTCTGCACAATGAACTTAATGAAGCCATAAAGATATTTTATGGATGACAGTCATCGAGTGATTCGATATGACGAGGCCCTTCAATAACTACGTAACAATTGCTATGAACATGAGAAACAGCGTGTGTGGATGTGTATTGCCATGAATTTATTCGCCGCTTGGCGAATCGAAATCTACTGTTAAAGTCAGAGCAAAGAGAGCGCTTCAAATTTTGTGACAACTAAATTGGACTTTCCACTCCAGAATTTCCCTGCGCTGGACAGCCTCATTCGGATGTATTGGCGTCATCAAAGAATCCTTGCTCTGGCTATCTAAGCTGTTAGAGAGGAACTATCTCAGTACCAATCGGTTGCGCGTGGCATCGATTATGCCCGCAGCGAGTAACCCTAAATGGGCTTATACAGGCCACCCTAGGCAACTAAAACGCGCACTCATCCCTACCTGGTAGGCTAACGCCCTGCTTTCCCTTTTCCAGTAGCTATATCCCATTAATCTGGCCTCCCAATTCATTCTACTTCACTACCCTTTGAAGCTTATTAAACGTATAGAACAGAAGGTTTATAGGAAGACTGGTTGTTGCTCAGTGTACCCAATAGCGAAAAAAGTGAGAACTCCTCAAAGACAACCAAAACGGGATCTTTTCCACTCATTGAACAATAACTACAGCTAAAAGCGACGTGGAACGATTCAGCGCACAACGCGTTTTGGCTGACAGTAATCCAATCTCTCGGCGTGTTACAGTCGAGTTCCTAGTTGTCGTCTACTGGCAGCAGCTGATTCAAATCACCACTAAACCCCAGTGGGCGGATCACTTTTTGGGCGAGCAGAGTCAACCCTGCGTTGCGCAGTTCGCAACGGCACGTTGAGAGATCCTCAACGCACGCTGTATGGGCGGAGACGCAGACGGCTCGAGCATGCGAGTGTGAATGTTCGCGCGAGAGAACGTGTCTAATCGGGCGAAACTGCGCAACGTGGCCGTTGAAAACTGCGCAACGCAGGGTTGACTCTGGGGCGGAGTGCTTTCGAAGTCCTGCTCAGCAACCAGCGAACCTTGCGTCGTGAAAGCGCTACATCCTCGTTCTCCTGGCAGCCAAGTAACTGATTCGTGGTGGTGTATATGCTTCCGCGATGCGCTCCCACTTTATCGTAATCGCTGCCTCTTTAATCTACGTTAGTACAGAATTCATCTTTTAGCAGGAATTGGCACCTATGGCCCACAGACCAGTGGGATTGTTGCTTTGCGACCTGCGCTGCAGGTAAAAAGGGTTCCCTGCAGTCCGTGTTCTCACAAAGTAGTATCCGAGCCTCGGATGGGGATAGGAGAAAGCACACCAAGCAGCCTACTGCTCGATTCCTAGGCCGTCGGTTGAGGGGTAACTAGTGTAGCAGCATGCTCAGAGTATCGCTTGATGAATATATTACAGATGGTTGGGTCAAAAATCGTCGTTGAAGCTGTTGGAGGATGATATTGTAACAGTGATACAAATAGGGGAATGTAGTATCAAATTGAAACATCATGGTGGTATCCGGATGGGGTAATCTACTTTACCATAGATGGCACTTTTCACATATTCAGTTAACCTTGAGATGGAGGCAGGGTCGGTCCTATCGTTGTTACTTTTCAAAAATTTTTACGACCCCCCTCCCCCAAGGTGGATTTGATACGACCCCCTTTTCCACACCTCCACCATTTAATTCTGGTACCACTCAACCCACAAAACTCCGCCCACTTTTTCCTCCAAAAATGCCGTCGAGCGGGGGGGGGGTATATAGCTACTCTGAAACAGTAAAATATAATTTCCTCTATTTCCACCATTTCACCCCTACTTTTACCCTATTTTACCTATTTTCCCGCAACAAACTCACATGTAATTTCACGCGACTGAAGCGGATACGACCCCCCTCCTATAAACTCAACCAGGTACGACCCCCCCGTTGTTACTAGTAACAACGTAGGGTTGACCCTGGATGGAGGTCCACCTTCGAGCTGACCCCATCGTAACCAGATTGAGGTCGTGGGTTGTGATTTTCTGGGGATCAGGCGTAATACTAGAAAACGTCGGAAGGAGAACATTTTGTGAAGACTTAACATTCCGGGAAATTTTAAGAAATAAAAACCCGTCAGAAACGATTCCCCCTCTCACGTAACTAGGACCCTTCATATTTCAAAATACGACCCACCATTCGCACTTTTTCAATAGATGTTAACCTTGGTGAATCCTGAGTTCACCATCCTCCCACCATTGCAGATACAACCCCTTCCTCCTCCACCCGTAGGTAATAGTACCAACGGATGGTTGACCTGAGCTGGAACTGTGTCAGTTTGAAAGAGTTTCAATGACATCGTTAAATACCAACCACAGGATTTGGGAGGGTCACGAAAATTTCGAACTCGACCGAATCCTACATTGACCTGTTTGCTCTTGATGCCAATTTCTACCCAGCCACCCAATGGGCGGGGTAGGCCATGCAGCGGTCTAACCAAGACGCCTCAGTTCACTTTAAAAAGTCGTCAAAGCTGAACTTACGATGTGGTTGGTGTTGGCAGCTCGAGCTTTCGCCTTTGCCCGACATCCACAGCAGCCGCATGCTCCGTTTGATCTGCACTGCAACGGAAAGAATA